TGTCACCTTTGGGTTCTAAAATAAAATGACTCGTTTCCAGTAAAAGAGGTCTCCGGTTCTCTATACTTAATATACGAAATATTCTCTAAGAGCGTGATGATTCCCCGGTAGAGCCGACCTGTTTATGCTACAACTATACTACTTATATAGCTGCAACATGACTCTACCACGTTTAAATATGTTATTAATGCTCTACAGTAATTTGGAACATAAGTAAGGTTTGGGAATTTCGCTATAAAACTTATAAAGTGTAACACCGCTAGATTTTATTCTCACTGCAGTATGTAAGTGCGCTTTAAATTCCTTACTAATTGGATTATTATACAGGTAAGGTGACTTAACCGTATGTCTATCTACTGGCGTGTTGTATCGAAAAATCCTCCGGTGCTAGTCTTTTTTTATATACGGCTTGAAGATAGAGAAGATAGCTTAACGATTTAATTTATAAATTGATTTGTCTAGAATTTTAAGATTCTCGTAAATGCGCTTTTCATGAATTTTTTACTGTGTTATAAGTATATCATGTGCTACGTTCTTATTAATTCCTACAAAAATTGGCTTTTTGCTTTTGCTTAAATACAAATTTTTAAACAAATGAATTGCGTTAAAGTGCTCTGTGGAATTTGGTAATTTACCTTCACATATTTATGACTTCCGTCTATTTTTAATTTTTGTCTGTTTTTTAACCACCTGCAAAAAATGGAGATTATGATTTCTTATATTTACAAGAACACTACACATTTAAATAATACTAGTTTTTACGGGTATTATCGCGAATATTGAACTTTTTAAATACCCGACGTTTCGAGCACTTTACAGCAACCACGGTCACGGGAGGGACAGAGATGTTCAACGTCCAGATGTCATAGTTAACCGTGGTTACCATAGATTAAAATTTAACTTTTGTTCCGATCTACACATCTTGATCTGATATTGATCTGGCTACATCTTGAAGCGCGCTTCGATTAAAACATACTTCAAGCCGCCGAAGAAGATTGGTCATTTTTACCATCAGTCAAGTGTAATGTCCCTCTGCAAGATGCAAGCTTGATTGTGAATGTGGTCTCTCCTACATAGGACAAGCTAAAAGATTAATTAAAATCCGCGTTAAAGCACATATAGCTGATGTGAAGAATTGATGCTCCGGGAAGTCTGCAGTCTGTGAACACATACAGGATCGCCCCATCACTACATCAGATTTGATAGACCACAAATCCTCGCTAAAGAACACCAATTCTTTCCAAGGATGATTCCGAAGGCTATTGAAATCAAAAACATCCAAATTTTAATAGAGAAGATGGCTGGGTGCTACCATCTGCTTGGAATCCTACAATTTATAAAATTAAATCCCAACCCAAGCATACAACTGCAAGACTTCAATATACCATAATACGCGATAAAATCCGTAAAAACTGGTATTATTTAAAAATGAAGATTGTAACAATACTCAATGAAGACAAGAAAAAAAGAAAAAAAATTCCAATTTTGACAGGAATAAATGTGAACCACTTTAGAATTTTAGAACAGGCGTTCATGCACATTAAATAAACATGTCATCAGAGATTACATTCAGGAAAGACTTACTAAGACTTATTCATTAGGCTTTGTCATGAACTGTTAAAAAATGTAATATAAACGTAAGTATAGTGCATAACTATAAGGCTTGAATGTTAATTCGTTCAAGCTATAAGGTAATGATATTTTTAGATTCAAGAGTAATGTATAGTATTAGATTATTGATTTTTCGATTAAGTATTACATTTATATATAATATAGCTTTGAATGTCATTTTATTTTTTTCAGCAATACTATATTATTTAGTAAGAGCCTTTTAATGTTGCTTTGCAAGCTTACAAGGTTTTGTTGAGCGTCATAATCCATTATTCATAACAAATAGTATTTCTCAAAATTCGAGAACCACGAAGAAAAGCTAGCTAGCTTTTTAAAGTATGTATTTAAATATTTTTCATTTTATAAAGTAAATAAAACAAAGCAACCCTTGGGAGAATATAAATACAATAATTAAGCTTAAATAATTTCTCTGAAGAAAAACTTGTAGAACTCAATGGATCAATTAGGGTTGTATAAATTTAAGTATAATTTTTTTACGAATGGAGTTCAAGATGGTTCTTCAATTCTATCAGAATGTCTAAAATTTGTCGTTCATTTCGATATCATGGATTTACCAGTTTGAGGTAGAAGATAACCTCTTAAAATTGTAAGAACTACTTAGAAATAAGATGGCTTGTTGAGCAGGACCTCTGCTCTCACGTAAAAACAGTGTATCTGTATAATGTATACGTTACGCCTCACCGAGGTGCAGATACACCTAGAGTTAGCCAGATATATTTAGGTGCAGAACATTGCTGGTGGTTAAATTTAGGTTCATTTGTTAAAAATACGGAAGCACGTATTTAGAATATCAGCGACGGGAGCAGCAGCGATGATATCGTCAACAACAGCAGGTAGAGCCGTATTTATCTAATTTACAAGTCATATAGGATGCATCTAAGTTTCGCCAACTGCAAACGGCTGCACCTATTTGTAGCTGGATTAACCTAGGTATAGTCCTGCTCATCGATTTCGACGACGACGACTCCAGAAATTATGTATTACTGATATTCGAAATACGTATTTTTCCTTCATCAGTATTATTATATACAATACTGATGTAGGAAAAATATATGTTTCGTATTACGACGTGAACCAGATGTGTTATTATTAAAAAAGTTGTCGATACGGCGGTGTAGTTCAGTTATAGTATTTTATACAGAAGTCAACATTTTGTAAGAAACGCAAACTTGGTTGTCCGATCTAATATTTTATGATTCATCATTACAGCCCTTCACAAGTCCACTGCTGAACATAGGTATCCCCCAAGTAATGCCACAAAGCACGGTCCTGAGCCATCTGCATCCATCGACTTCCTGCATGTCTTACCAGGTCGTCACTCCAACTAGTGCTCCAACTACACTTTGGAACTTTTTACAGTGAACACTAATTGCGTTTGTTGGATTATCTCTGGTATAATTTTGACATAGATAAGTGTATGTACTCATTTAGGTGCTTTTAAACATAAGTGCTTAACTATTATCGAACTCAATGGTAAGTGATACAGCCTAAGCTGGTATAGCGCACTGACATAGCTTAAGAAAAGTCCATTTACTCTTGCCTTGAAGACTCCTATATCCATTTTTTTAGATTTTATCGTCGTCTTTGTCCATAAGTGTCCTACTCCTGGGCACAGGCTTTTTCTCGTTCCTGAGAGAGTTTTAGGGCAAGGAAATATCCGCCGCACTCCCGCAATGTGTTTGAACTTTACATGTCTTGAAAATGGGTATTTTCTTATTTCCCAAACGTACAATGTTCTTCCTCACCGCCGAGCAGTGGTATATTACAAATTGGTTGGTGCCAGTAGGATTCGAACCCGAGTGACTCGCTGTCTTTGTATTTACGACGAGCGATAAGCCCTTGAGTTACCAGAACTCTCCCTGAGCAAGCACCGCTCGCTGCTTGAGTGAGCGGGAATCCCATTCAGAAAAGCAGATCATTTAGTGAATTGTATGAAATAATTACTGTTGTTTTTCGACCTGAGCTACCACAGCTCGTAATCATTGCCACTTAGTAATCATAAGTAAAAGAAAATTAGAACTAGTTTGTACTACAACAATTGTATTAGAAGTTAAAACCGACTTAACGCGTTGTTAGTTTTTCAAGTCGAGCGACATGAGTAAAAGTCACATAAAGGCACAGGCTTAAAACTGTGTAAGGTTTCGGCTGAACTTCAAATGTAAATTTGCTTAACATTACACGAGCAAATGTTTGGTTAAGTTGATGCACGGTGCTTGTGAACTAGGAAGTTAATTCCTTACAACGTAAACGCATAGGGCTCCCGAGTAGGAGTCATGTACGATAAATGTTTATTTTATTGATTTTCACACGGCCCGCTGCTATGCATCTCGCTGGTGAAACATCGGACTAGAATTAATGCGACAGAGTTCCGAATTGCCCGATTAAAATTATTAGGGTGTGTAAAACACCCTGCGCACGATATACATAAGGTTGACAAAGTTATATAGTCCTTTTTTGTAGATTATGGAGTTAGAACTCTGTAACATCCATTCATTTTAATTAGCGTATCGTTTTAGTTTACTTTTATTGAGTTATTCTATGGCTGATTTGTTTTATTATCTGTGTAATTAAATATTTTCTCTTAGTGCAGACCATTTAAAATTATTTTTAGTACAACTGGGACCGTGAGATGTGATTTATTTGTACGTAATGCTTAATTTAAAAAGTTCGAGGTCTCTCTATATTATTTTGTGTTCAATTAATTTGATTGCATATATTCCCCCAGTTATTCGTTTCCGATAATTATCGAGTCTCAAGTCAATTAGTGAAAAATTCCCATTGAGATTTTTTCCAATGGGGGAGAGTAATGCGAGCTTTCGCAGTAGAGTTGGCCCTCAACTCTGTTGTTAACCGTTAAACTTGTAATAGCGAACTACTAACTTGCCTCTACGAAGTATCGTCACGCCTTCGACGTCGCTAACGAATTTTTAATATCAGAAAATACAATCATCACCGCGGGTGGTTTCCAATTTAATTACAGGCTTAGAGCCATTGTTCAATGCCTTAGTAAATTTTGATATTTGAAATATTTCATTTTAGTGACATTTATAACGGATTATTTATATAATAACCGGCTTATAAACATATTATATCGACTCAGATCTCAATGCGTTTAGAAACTCATTTTTCTTTCGAGATCTTGAAAACGTAAACAGTTCGTTGAAAGAGTTCGATGTCACTTATAGAAAACTTTCAGACGTGAATGACTAGAAAGAGAGAGAGTGTAAGAAGTTAGGCTATGCGATCATTTTCACATATCAACCAAACACTGTCGCGGGCGGGACTTCAAGTTTAATTGCAGGTTCAGCGCCGTTCATTAAGGATATTATGCAGTTTTTTAACGCGATTATGACGTCGCAGGTTCGACGTTAGCCACGAGGGTGTGTTGGGGCGAGGAGGGCTGCGTCACGTGCGAGGTCCGCACTCCGCAACCCCACGCATGCGAGACCGCGGGGCGCCGGCCGCGCAAGCGCGCCCCCCGACCTACCCCGGTCTCCCCTGGCCCGCCAGTCTGCCGCCAGCCGCCGTGCGTCCTGACCGTTATCGTCGCGCTGAACCGCGTCGCGAGTGCTCTCCGAGTGATGACGACTTGTGAATAGTGCCATGATCGTGCTTCGCTGTGCTTTCCTCGCGGCGCTCGTCGCCGCCGCCGCTGCTGCCTGGCAGGAAAACGTCAGGCCCAAGGTCTTCGCTCAATTAGGTGAGTGATCATCGCAATCATCATGCGGCCAACATGCCGGTGATAACGGTGCAACGATCGTCCTTATAGAGTATAGTAGAACGTGGCATTGGCCACGCATGCTTACGGGACACCGAAATATTCCTATGTTTATGTTATTGTGCTTGATCGCAACATGCTTACAAACATTTCAAAAGTTACTTTTGAATTTGTTACGCTATTAATTGTGTTGGAAATTGCGTCTTCTTTAGTGTTTACACAATGTTTATGAAATTTAACAGATTTCAAAATAAATAAACAAAAAGTAAGTTAGCGAATTTCTTGAAATGTAATATTATCAACTTTTCCAAATTACTGAATGTCTTGTGTTTGGGATAGTTTATAATGGTTAAAACTGGAAAGTTAATTGCTCTTAGATACTAATCTCCCTTAGTTTATAAGTTACAAAATGTTCGAGCAAGTATTTTAGAACAAGTTATAAAATATTTAATGGAAACAAAAGAAAGTTAAAAATTTCTATTCTATCTAAATGACACTATTTGATTAAGAAAACGATGATAAATTACCAACTATTAGTAAATTTAGAACTAGTGAATGAAATAGCAACAAACCACTATTTGTTTTCTCATAAAGTTTGGGTAAATTCAATAAATAGCAAAACCAATGGTGGACAGTCAGAAACTTATTATGTATAACTTTGTATTTTCCTCGATCAACTGTAGTTAAATGAATATAAATACCACACACGGCGACTGAACTACAAAATAGTTTGTTCGATCATAAAAGTTCGTGCAACTGTCAGTATTATTTTCTAAATACGATAAACAAACGTCTCTGAAACTTGCTTTGCGGTACGCTATTTTTTAGTAACGAGTCAGAGTCACGCGACAGTTCATCCTGTAGGAATAAAGACTATGCACAGCTATAGTGCCATTGTTTTATTGTGCAGTCTGCATTGCGGGGGACGAGCCACGTGGCTCTCATTAGTGGCAACACAAAGCGAAGCAGTTTATTCTGCGTTTTGCAATGTTCCGCTTGGATTAGCAATCTATCCAAAGTTTTAGTTATAGCACGAGTAACTTTTCCGAATCGAGTACTGTACTTAAAAGCTTCCGTATCATTCATTAACTCACGATGAATTGATTAAGCGCATCTCATCTCAGATTTATTTAGTCGTTAGTAAAAACAACGCTATTAATTTAAGGATCGACACTGGCGTCATGGCGTCAAACATGTCTAGACGCAAATGTGTCTGCAGCATATCCCAAATTGCCATTGTATCCGGTCTTTGTTAGCATTCAATTTGAAATACTAATAGATTAATTTACACACAGGAATGTTATTGTACATCTAGTATTTGTATGATTTATTCTTTTTTATTATCCGCTTATAGCCGCAATAGTCCACCCAATACAAGTAGACTGACTACCTTATTGACAAAGCGTTCTTAATTGCTCGAAGTTAATTACATATCTATAGTAGTCTTGTTTGATGTAGGGATGCTCGTAGTGAGCTTGTCAACACCTCTACAGTAATGTGATCTACCAATTCAAACCAAAGGGGTTGGACTGACCGCGGTATGCGGTTAATAAGCGATCAAAGGTTCATATGGAAATTAACTTCAGTGGTGTCTTCGTGTTTTGGCATTTATAGCCTTTGATTTAGCTAAAACAAACATTATAATTGTTAAAAGAATTTAAAATAGCATGGTAATATTTGGCAATATGACTTTGTCGATATTGAATTTACTCCTCCATATAGGTATCTAAAATTTGCAGGCAGACTTTGTTCTGCAGCATATGCTGTAAGAAAGATTAGAAGTCTCACCAATGCTGAGACAGCTATACGAAAGTAACCCCTGGGAATGAGGTGATCGCCACCATGCTGGTTCTATAAAAATTCATTTAAAAGTTGTATAAAATAAATTTATTGTAAATCGTAATATGTACGTATTTTAAAAAAAAGTCCCGCTGGGTTTCTTGATGGTTATTCGCAGGACAGAGGTTTTTTTCAGAATCAGAGGTAATTAAAAAATTACTTTCAATAAGTATTGTATTGTATATACAATATTCTATATTGAATAAAAATAATTCATTTCATTTCGCCTAAATTCTTTAATACTATGTTTCTTGGAAAATGAATTTCATAAACAGAAAACAGTAATTAACTATTATTGTGACGTTATTATTCCGCTACATAACCGATAAGACATGCAGGAAGTCGATGGATGCAGGTGGCTCAGGACCGTGCTTTGTGGCATTACTTGGGGGAGGCCTATGTTCAGCAGTGGACTTGTCAGTCATCCCTCACTGATGATATGAAACTGTGATATAACAAATAAAGCCATCGAAATAATATAAAAAAATCAATAACTTTGCATCTTCTTTGTGGACAGAAAAATATTGTTTTTTGATTTCACTTATTCTTAGCTCGGTAAAGTAAAATACTAGAGGGATAATTACAATATTTACTACTAAATATAAATTTATTTTGTTATGTTATCAACTGCATAAATCATTTTAGTGTGTCTGGGGAGATTGCGGCCGCAATCTAACTAAACTAATTTCAGGGTAATTAATATTGATGATCAGGTAAATAATATTGATGTACTTGTAGTCCGTAGAAAAGTGTTAGTATTATTTATAAAGTGCATGTAGCTAATACCAGTGTACAAGTGCTATTTCTGCAATTTGCGTATAAAATGCGAAGCAATAATGAAGGCAACTTCTGGTTAAGTGCTCACTTAAAAAATACAAATTCGCTGTAAAGTGCCTTGGGGGAGATACGTAGCTTTTTATATGCGACAGATAAATATTTAGCGTCATATTACGAAACTTTGTTTATTGATAATCTCAGCCTTAAACTATCGTTCTCATTATAATTTTAAAAAGGGTTTTCGATAGTAAACCGGAGACTTATCAATGCATACACAAAACCACGATTTGTAATAAGACGATTAGGGTCTAATTCTATGTGTATAATTTATGTTCGTAGCGATGTTTGATATGTCTTTAACTGTACCTACTATGGCTGAGTAATTCCCGGACAGACCGGTTCTATCTATGTGGGTCGTTCTCGAGCCAAGTATTGGTAGGGAATTGGCTGCAGAAATTTCTCTGAGACTGTTTCCGATGAATCACTTGTGAACAAGATTAAGTAAGGTTAGTGTTCTCGTAAATAAACTTTTTTAGTAGAAATGGTTTTAAGTAATAAATTTACTGGTTTTTCTTACTAGAAAATAAGCGTAATTTATTAAGGCCTTGTTTTGATTAAAAAAAGAAAATGATTTATGATGTGTGATTTATGAGTGGTTAGAGTATGTGCTCCTATCTAAAACCTTATTCTTTTTTTACAGTTTATGGTATTGCGTTTATGGGCTCCGACACCCTCCTTTATGCTTTAACTGCTTGGATTATAGAACGTTTAAGTGGGCCCATAAAATAACCGTTCAGTTACTACCTGGAGAAGAAATAAATTACTTAACAGGATAATGCTTTTATATCCCGAAATGTTTTGTACGTGTCGTATTTTACCTTATGGGTATTTATTTGGTCATTCGTCAGAGACCAATACACTAGGGATCTGTTGTGTGGCAGGGGTGCATAATACTGATGTGACTTCATGTTGTTTATGATTGAGCTCACCCGTACAATTTATTAACGATGTGGTGTATTGGGGGATATACATAAATAAATTAGTTATGAACATTAAGCTGTTTTAATCAATTTATGAGTCTGTATGTCATATGATAGATATATTAAGTATGCACATTTTATATTGTGTTAAATCAATTACCATTTAACACCACTTCGTGTTTAGAAGTGATTTATATAACTTTTGTTTATAAATTTTTCATTTTGTTTAAAAAATTGTATTTCGTATGATTACGTCCTATTGTGGTGTTTTGTTTATGCAACATGCTATAGTCAGATGGCTTAGGTATTCCCTTAGAACCGCTACTATAACCGCTAATCAAAAAAGGACCAAAGTTCAAACATTCATCGACAATACGATCGCTTAAGTCGAGAGGAATGCGGTGAGATGTCAAAGCAAATTGTACTCAAGGTATACAGAATAAGGCGATTTATTGCTCGCAGATCGTCGTTTTGCGGTTTCAGAAATAGAACTAGACCTTAACATAGGGCGATAAAGCATCTTCTTGGTTAGAAGGAGTATCTTGAATGGAATGATTCGAGCAGTATACGCACGTGCGTGCTGAGTGTGCGGGGAGCCCGGCAATGGCGCCGCCTAGCGGGAGAGGAACAACTTTATGACGATGCAATATATTGTCTTCGCCCAGTGTGGGATTTACGGTTCCTTTTGTTTTTTTGGATACGGCTATTAATTTATTTTAGTGGGCCGTTTGGGGACCGCTTCGGCTTGCACGTCAAAATTTGCTGTTTTGTTTTCAGTTCCTTACTGCGGATAAAAATTGGACCTTAGATTCCTGTATTTTAAATATAAAATGGTTTTTGTATTAGTACGAATATAATTCCCATATAATTGTTAGCTTTTAGTAACTAAATTTGTGGCGATTAATAATAAATGAAGTCGTCTATTCTAATTTCTAACTACCAAAAATTCACTGCAATAGAATATCTGATATTACTATACGCAGTACTATCAAAGCAGTTTTCATTTAAATCGCAATGGGATTCAATCTATATGAAATGGAAGAAAGGTGGGCAATGAATGGATGTTTGATCCAACCCTCGTTGATGAGGACAAGGCAAACATTGGTTTAGTAATAAAAATATTTGTTCAAATACTCAATGCGCAATGGAAAGGAAAGGCGTTTTTTACAAAGCTGGTCCCGCGAGTGCGCCCAGTTCATTGTCGTGCAGTTTTAAACCCGGATTAAAAAGAAGCTAATAACGAGTGCAATGAGGGGAGTTTGCAGTCGGTATGCGTATTACAAATTTTGCGCCACGCTATTTTGTAGTTTACAATTAAAATTTTACATGTCCACGATTATATTCGTGGCCGCCAGTTTCAATGACGCCA